ATATGACATCAATCTCTTCTCCCTTGTCCAGGTGATAGGTCACCTGGTCGTAGAAGGAAATGAGATTGGTCAAGCAAGACCTACCTGCAACAAACCCGTGCTGGCTTTCCCTTAAGATGTTGTTGATGTTTTATTGATTGTATTTAAATTTTAAAGTAATTTGGAAGCCTACCAGTGCCTTTTTATCATCATCATCATCATCATCATCATCATAAAATAAATTCTAAATATCTATACACTTTGGTATTTGCTCCTGGTTTTGTTTTTGTGTTTTTATCATAGAAAAATCAAAGTTGCCTCTTTGCTCACCTGGATGTAGGGACAGCTGCAGCTGGACCCACAGCTGCTTTGTGGTGCTGAGCAGCACTGATACGCTGGTGCCTAGCGCCTGCCTGCCTGCCACTCACTGCCTCCTGGCAGCAGCTCTTTTCCAGCACCAGGACATAGGTCTAACTGCAGCTGTCCTACCTGCTGCTTTGTGGCTATGAGCAGCGCAGTCCCTTACTGTTCTGCTCTTATAGTGCCCTTCCTGGGAAGCCCTTGACTGGGGTTCAGGGATTGAGCTGGGCAAGCCTCTTCCCTTCCAAGCTGGTTCTTTGTGCCACATAGTCTCCGGGACTCGGGTGACGCTGCTGCAAGGCTCTCCCTGCAGCAGACTGAGTGCGCTGAGGGCCCAGTGCTGGGGGCTACTGCTGCTGTCTCTGAATACTGTGCAGTGTGGGGAGTTTGGGGGGGGTGGGGAGGAGGACCCCCCCCAAGGCTAGTGGAGCCAAGCCTGCCTCAGGCAGCCTCTCCTACCCAGAGCTCTCCCTCCCCCTCTATCTCTCCTGCTGCCTACGGGGTTATGGTGATGGCTCTGGCCAGCAGGACCTGTCCCATCTAGCAGCTGGGCATGCAGGGTGTGAGATTTGGGAGGTTGGGGGAAGGGTGTGGGAGGATGCATATGGGGCTTGTGGGTGGATTGTGTGGAGGCAGGATGCCACATGCATGCTCCATTCCCTCCTCTCTTCTGTGCCCCCCCCAAATGCTGTCAATGGTGGTGGAGACTGTGCAGCATGCCCACTGTAGGCATGGTGCTTCCCGGGACCTGGAGACTACACGTGGCACATGGAGCGAGCCTGGTTTGCTGGAGCCTAGATACCATGGTGGACAGGTGGCGAAGTCTTGCACAAGACTACACTTGCTTCTGCCGCAACCCAGGGCTCCTGCGCTGCAGTGAGGAGCCATGTGTCATTGGGCTGGGCTGGCTCCACATGGAGGCAGGAGCCAGCCCAGCCCAATGGCATGTGACTGCCTGCAGTTCCAGGAACCCTGGGTGGCAGCAGGAGCCAGTGCAGTCCTGACTGAAGATGTGCCAGTGGACCAGGCTGGCTTGGTATGCCACATGTAACCCCAGGGGAGCTCTTCCTGCAGCTGGCTGTGAGTGCCCTGATGGCCTGCTGCTGCTGCCAGTGGTCGGGGCTGTGCATAGTGGTGGGTAGGGGACTCCCGTGGAGTCCCTTCTTTTTTTTTCCCCCCCACCAATGCCTTCTTACCAGGGACAAAGCCTGGGTCCCAGCCAGCCAGCTCTGAGTCACTGCTGCCAGCCTTGCCCTGCTTCTATTTTCTCCTGCACACTGAGGCAGCATGCTGGAGCAGTAGGGTCATGTGACAGGCAGAAGTGCTCTGGCTGGGTGCTAGAATATCTCTTTGGAGGATCCAGCCTCCACTTGCTTCGGGAGGGGCAGCCTCCATGCTGCTTTCTTTTTTCCTGGCATGTTTTTCTCGATACTGGAGTCCCCCGATATCAAACTTAAAGTCCATGCTGCATATTTGCAGTGTGGGGAACATTTTTGTTCATGGTGTGCCTCCTGTAGCATCTCAAGCTGCTTTTTGAGATGCTGCAGGAGACATGTGGTCACTTGTGTGGACACGGCTGCAGTGTTTAAATACTCCAGTTCTCCTCTGGTATTATCCAAATCTTATTACTAACAGAATACCCCGATTTTTTTTTTTTACAAATTTCACGTGGATATTAAAACAAAACAAAAACACAGAATTGCTTGCTTTTTTTTTTTTTTTTTTTTAATCCTGGAGTGTCCTAATGTGAACTCT